TCCCAGGAGCTGCTGAGTAAGTGCCAACCCGGGCTTGCTTGGGAGAGCACCACGGGTGGCATCAAGGAAGGAGGACAGAGAAGTCAAACAATAGTTCTAACAAAGGCCCCTGGCAATGTTTTGGAGGAATTCTCCAAAATGGGACAAGCCTTTCAGAGCTGTCCTGATTGACAGCCAAAGGACCAAGACTTTCTATTCTTAAAATTAACTGGCCCACAGGCTGGAGGCAGCGCTCTTCAGCTGAGGGGAACCTAAGGAATGGCGGGAGGCAAGGACAAACTCAGATGGGTGTCATTAACACTGCAGAAATAAGCCTTTCAATCTGGAGGGAGACTATCTGGGTGGTACCCTAAATAGCCAAAGCAACAATGGAAGCTGTGTGTGGCAGCAGTTATAATTCCAGCATTCTGGGAGGCTGAGGCAGGAGGATTATAAATTCAAACCCAGCCTGGACAATGTAGTGAGAACTTGTCTCAAAATTAAAAACAAAATTTGAGTTACTAGGGATGTAGCTCCAAATGAAGGCCCTGGGTTTAATCTTTACTATAGAGAGATACAGAGACTGATAGCAACTAGACAATGTCCACTTCTTGTAAAGCCTCAAGTGCCTAAGGGTGCGTGTGAGGAACAAGTCCCTGATCTATTTCTCACAAATGGAGCATTTCAAATTGTTGAAAGTACTCTTTGTGTTGAAAAACATGAAGAAAATCATGTAATTTGGGCAGCTACAAGTTTGGAAATGTTTTATAATTCTTTGTTTTAGAGTAGATTTACCCTTAAGGAGAAAAAAATCTCTAGAGAAATATAAAGTTGGAAGTGAGGATTAATTCCAGAGGTATGATAATGTTTTAAAAAGATTATTAGGTTAAGCAACAATTTAACTTAATAAGCCATTTGTTTCTACTATGTAAGTGGCCACTACCAAGACATTGTCTCCAGCCTTAGAGAAAACAGCAAAGAAGATGAAACTTCTGCAATGTTCAAAAAATGTCAGTTTCAATGTACTAAAGAGTAAGCACCCAGTTAGCAATGCTGCTTTGTAGCCCGTCAAAAATAACACTGCATCTCAAGAGGCAGCATCAACTCAGATCTTGATAGCACTCAGGACAAAACTGTTTGTATTGGAGCTGAAGAGAACTCAGGGCCTCACCCGTGCTCAAAAAGCCCTCTGCTTCCTCAGCACGTACTGGCAAGAGGAGTGGTTCTCAAAGTGTGGTCTGTGGCCAAGGTAGCCTTGGATTATCTGAGAATTTGGAAAAAACCCTCTAGGACTCTGGGCCTGGGGTGGGGGCCGCAGTGGGCAGAGAGCAGGGAAGCCTAGCAGCTGGCCTGCAGCAAGCCCGGGCAGCCACAGGAGGGTTCTGATGCGCCCTGGGTCACGGAAGCACTGCTGGTGACAGGCCCACAGCTACGGTTGACACACTGTGTCAACTGGAGAAGTTTAGAAGTTCAACTAAAAGACTCACAGGGAGCCAGGGTTCTTACTTTGTAAACATCTCCATCCTGTGCAAGAGGAGGGCAAGGAGATTTTGTGAGCACTACACTGGCCCTGGTCTGGGCTGGCCTGTGTACAGTATAGAGGAGGAAAAGATATTTGCTCTTACCTGCTTTTTGCTCTGGATGCTGTCTTGAAAGTGTTACCCCGGTGCCATGCCACCCTGCTCTGGAGCCAGCTGATTAGGGACTGAAACTTCCACAGTGAGCTAAATAAACCTTTCCTTCCTCATTTTGGGTGTAGGTATTTTGTCTCAGCAACAAGATTTGAAAAGTAACCAAGACACAGCGAGGCACCAACATCGTCCTGCATCTGAGGCAGGAAGAAAATTATGCCGGCTTTTGAAATAAACATGTAACATTTCCCCACTATTTACAAACATTTAGGTTTATCCAGGATCTCAGAATTATGTCTATATAAAAACCATACAGATGTTTATAGCAGCTTTATTTGTAGTCATCAAAATTTGTAAGCAGGGCCGGGGATTTAGATTGGTGGCTTAAGTGATGTGTGTGGTTGTGTAAGGTTGTGAACTGGATCCCCGGTACCAAAAAAAAAAAAAACCTTGTAAGCATCCGAGATATCCTTCACTAGATAAATGGGTAAATTGTGGTACATTCTGACAATGGAGTATTATTCAGTGCTGAAATGAAATGAGCTATCAAGTCACAAGAAGACCCTGAAGAAACCTAAGTGCATATTATAGCTAGTGTGGTAGTACATGCCTGTATAATCCCAGGTGGGAGGATCTCGAGTTTGAGATCAGCCTGGGCTACAATGTGAGCTCAAGGCCAGTCAGCCTGAACTGCATAGTGAGATCTTGTCTCAAAAAGACCAAAAAAAAAAAAAAGATATTACATGAAAGTAGCCCATCTGAAAATCTCACACATTACCTGATTCCAACAATATGACTTTCTGAAAGACAAAATTATAGAGACAGTAAAAAAGGTTTTAGGCAGCATAGAATACTGGCAAAAAACATACCCAAAGGGCAATGGAACAGATTGGAAGATGTAGAAACAACTGAAGACATACTAAACCACCTTATTTTTGACAAAGGTGCAGACACATTCACTGGAAGAAAGGTAGTCTCTTTAATACACGGTGCTCATGGCCAGGGACTTAGCTCAGCGGCTAAATCACCTACCTGGCAAGCGTGGGTTTGATCCTTGGTACCAAAAAGAAAAGACAGAAATGGCGCTGGAAAACTGGCTCTACACCTGCTGAAGATTAAAACTGGACCCGTATCTTTCACCATGTACTAAGCTAAAATCAGAATGGATCAAAGATCTTAACATTAAAACAGAAACATTAAATCTGCGGGAAGACAGAGTAGTAAAACTCTTGCCTACACTCTTGGTGTAGGCAAAGACTTTATGAACAAAACTCTGATTGCGCAGGAACTGTCACAGGTACTCAACAACTGGGATCTCATCCTGCACAGCAAGAGAAACCACCAGCAGTGAAGAAACACACAACCGGGGAGGAAATGTCTGCCAGCTGTACCTCAGACAAAAGGTTACTACCGAGAACATATAAAGAACTCGGGGGCTGGGGATTTAGCTCAGCGGCATAAGCGCCTGCCTTGGAAGCAGGCAGTCGTGAGTTCGATCCCTGGTACCAGTAAAAACAAAAAAGACCCCCCCCCCAAAAAAAAAAAGAACTAAAAAAAAAAAATCAGTCCTTCCAGATTTAAAGACCCAAAAATGGGCATCTGAGATGAATACACACTTCTCAAATGAGGAAATACAAACAGCAAATAAATATGTGCAAAAATGTTCACCATCTCTGGTCATTCAAGAGATGCAAATTAAAACAACACTGAGATTCTACCTCACCCTGGAAAGAATGGCTACTACTATCAAGAAATCAAGCAGTAAGAAATGTTGGTGGGGCTGTGGGGAAAAAGGAACCCTTCTCCATGGTTGCGGGGGGACTGCAACCACTGCAGAAATCAGTGTGAAATTCCTCAAAAAACTAAGACTAGAGGTCCCATTCCATCCAGCTATCTGTCTTCTGGGTATCTTCCTAAAAGAACTGAGACCATCATACCACAGCAATGTACGTGCACCCATGTTTATGGCAGCACAATTTGTAAGTTAGATCTTTGTTTTTAATGGGATTTTTTTGTACCGGGAATCAAACTCATGACCTCATGCTTGCCAGGCAGGTGTTTGTGCCACTAAGCTAAATCCCCAGCCCATGTAATAACTTAGATCTTGGGGCTGGGGATTTAGCTCAGTGGCATAAGCACCTGCCTTGCAAGCAGGTGGTTGTGAGTTCGATCCCCAGTACCGATAAAAATGAAAAAGACAAAAAAAAAAAAAAAAAAAAAAAAAAAAAAAAACCAAAAAACTTAGATCTTTGAAACAACCTAAATGTCCATTGACTTTTTTTTTTTTTTTTTTTTGTCTTTTTCGTTTTTATCGGTACCAGGGATCGAACTCACAACTGCCTGCTTGCAAGACAGGCGCTTATGCCGCTGAGCTAAATCTCCAGCCCCGTCCATTGACTTTTGAATGGATTAAAAAAAAGTCATATTTTTATACACTGGAGTACTACTCAGCCACAAAGGTTAAACTGATTTTATAGGTTAATGGATGCAAATTTAGACAATACATGTGAAAGTGAAATAAATCAGACACATGCGTAAACATGCTAGTGGAGAGCTGTGATATACGTAAAAGTACATATATGTATATAAAAATAGTTAAGATACTTCTGATTTCTCAAGAGTTCACTGAGGAGAAAGATCTGTGCTGGTATTATTCGGACAATTGAATGCAGACCTCTTGTGCTCTGGATGAATGATCTGGGGATGACAATGCACAATGTACGTACCATTGTTGCCCCGAATGACATGTTTTGAAATTTTATTTTTTTTTGTTGAAATAAAATGGATTAAGGGGGCAAGCTGGGGATTACCTCTTGTATCCTCAAGAGAGCATTCTGAAGCTAGGGTGGTGGTACATGCCTGTAATTCCAGCACTTGGGAGACTGAGGGAAGAGGGTTACCTCAAGTTTGAGGCTGGCCTGGGCTACATAGTGAGTCCAAGACCAGCCTGAACTACACAGTGAGATCTTGTCTTTATAAAAAAAAAATGAAGAAAGCATTTTGGAGGCTGTGAAGCCACTGGTGCAGTAAAGGACACATGCACCCAATTCCCCATGATGAATGCATTCATTATGTACATTGCGTACCACAAACACAAGTGTCCTAATAGAAAATGGAACATATGCTGAAATCGGACAGCGGTCAGGCACGGCCCCTGCCATCACAATGTAGTTCTCACCACAGCTAACGTCACTGGGGAGGGCTGACGCTGAAACGTCACACACACAGAGAAGCAAGAGGTTCATGGAAACCTCTGGAACCTTCTACTCAATTCTGCATGAACTGCTTTAAAAGTCTAGTTAAAAAAAAAAATCAAAGCCCAAAGGTTTAGGGACAGAAGGCTTTAGGAAGACGAGAATTATATTGCTTTAAAGGAAGAAAACTGAAAAGTGACCTTTTGAAGTATGAGTTTATTCTCTAGGTTTTCTTAAATACCCACAAATTAGTATTTTTATTGCTGCTATACCCAGAAGCTGAAAACAATTTAAAATAGGTACTTTTATTATACATTTAACACTTAATATGGAACTGTGAGTTTTAAAAGTGAGTTTTTCAATGATTTAATAAGCATGTGGAAATTGGAGATAATCATACCAACAGCTACTGGACTCTGTAATAAAACATAAATTATAAAGAAACACAAGATAATTCATAAAGAGAGACAAACAATGGCTCACTGCCTCCAATGCTGGTTAGCTAATGAAAGCAATACTGAATTAAATATATCCTTCTTCTTAATTAAAGCACAATAGTTCTAGCCTGTCATGAATGCCTTAGGTCCAAAATGTAAAACAAGACTTACGTTCTGAACATCTCTAATCTTGACTATCTTATGCTAATGGACTTTTGTGTAGCACTAAGAAACTGGTAAATAATCAGTCTGCTTGATTAATACTTGAGAGGAAAAATCAAGAAATGGCTATAGCTCAGTGACACAGCGCCTGCCTGGCAAGTGCGAGGTCCTGAGTTCAATTCTCAGTACTCAAAAAACCAAAAAGAAATGGGTAAAAAACTTATCAAGTGAGATTTGGCCACCTGAACAAAGTAGTATAAAAGGCATCGAACTGTAATACACGAAGAGCTAAGCATTTAATGGCAGAGAAGTATCTGAAATCCCTACAGTAACACACTGACTCAGCAGCCCAGGTTTGCAAGCCCAAGGGCAGTGGTTCCTGCAAAGATGAGGCTAATGAGAAGCTAGACTCTAATTAACTCCAACTTTCCTCACCAATCAACATCACAAAATGATTTTTCTGTACTTCTCAGTCAAAAGAAAATTAAAGCCATATTTTTATTGTTAGTGTGAATTTAAACATTTGTGAACTTGCTGTAGTTTTTGTTAGCTTTTTAAAGATAAGTGATAGCAGATGATGATGTTATGTGACCAATGCACTGAATTTCCAAAGAATAAATTAATCTAGTGCTATATGGCATTATTCATGATTTAGAACCCACAATTGTCTCCATTAAGTGGGAAATTATGAAAAATACCATTTGTAGAATGCTTAGGTTTTCTCTTCAATTGGATTTTTTTTAAAAGCAGACCTCACTTTCATTTAAAACATATTAAATAACTAACATTGCTTCATTTTTCTATTTTCTATGAAATCAAATTCAAAAAGCTTCCAGTAGTAGTTTGCTCTTGCTAACTGATCTCAGATGTTTCTGACACTAAAACTATTTTAATTCCATTTAAAAGGAAGACTCTTCCATTTAATAAGGGTGGCCTGAAGTGTATCATTTTTTAAGCATTAAAGAAAATACTGTTATCCAACTTCATACAATAGAACTACGGTTGTTGTAGTGAGAAAATAAATTTGGAATATCAATGATGTAGTTAGACCTATAGACAAAAGCCACAAGGAAGTCTTATAAAAATGACTTTCAAAAATGGTGGCAGAGGGCTGGGGTCCTATTTGCCTGCCTGGCAAGTGTAAGGTCGTGAGTTCGATCCCCAGTACCAAAAAAAAAAAGTGGTAGAACTAGATGTGGTGGCTCACACCTGCAAACCATGTACTTGCAAGGCTGAGGCAGGATTGCCACAATTTGAAGACAGCCTGGGAAATACAGTGAGTACATGGCCAGTCTCGACTACATAGCAAGACCCTATTTCAAAAAACCAAAACCCAAAAAAACAAAACCCAATAAAAGGGGGCCATGTGAGAACAGCCAAGATAAGAAGCTCCTGTAGAGTGCAGCCAGTCTTAGTGGCATACAGTGTCACCTGACTTTGTTAAACCACTGGTTAAGTCAGGGGAAGGAGATAACAATAATCAAACTACTGGGATTGAAAAGAGTTTGATTAAAAGTTTAAGCCAAGTGTGGTAGCACATGTCTGTAATCTGAGCACTCAGGAGGCAGAGGCAGGAGGATTGCTGTCAGTTCAAAGCCAGCCTGGGCTACACAGAGTCCAAAGCCAGCACAGTGAATGGCATAGTGAGACCCTGCCTCATCCCAGGCCAAAGGATGTCTACAGTCTACCAGATCCTTCCATATACGTTCCTGCCGCAACAGTCAAAGTACATGTCGCAACTCAATCCCAAATGCTCTTGTACGTTCAATGCTGCTTTCTCGTCCTAAGTCACAGATGGCCTCACGACCATTTATTTGAAAACCATGTGATTGGGCGCAGTGGTACACAGCTGTAAGCCCAGCTATTTGGGAGCATGAGGCAAAAGGAGCAAAAAACTGAGGCCAGCATCGCCAACTGAGACGCTGCCTCAAAAAATAAAAAAGGGCTCAATATGTAATTCAGCACTTCCCAAATTCAGTCCTCAGTACAACACAGAAAACAAAAGAATCACTTGTCAAATTGCTGCCTCACAAAAAGCTTAGAAGTAACTATAGAAGGTAAATTCACATATACTGCTTTTATTATGGTTGTTAGTTGATGAAAACAAATAGCTAAAAAGTTTTCAAATGATAGAAAACGTACTTGGGTAACTTATGACACAATTTTGTGTGTGTACGGAGATAACAGAAACATCTATTTTTGCACCAACTGTAAATTCAGGGTTAAAGACGGAAAAGTCAAAGGGAGCCTGAAACACATTCACTATTTCAAAACCTTAGACAAAAGAGCAGAGGACAGAAAAAAACAAAAACAACATATACACCTTGATAACAGTCTTTTTTTTTTTAATGACTTCCTATTTTCTCTCCTTTTTAAAAGCACTAAGACCCTTATTGTAGATTATGTATCATCTCCTCTTTGGCTATGAGGTGTGTGGTTTTGTTAACCAGAGACATCAAGGAGTTCAGTTTCTGAGACCAGTCATTCAGTAAGTTATTTGGATCCTTGGGTCTCTGGAAGTTGATAATTCCCGCCAACCTGTCAACTTTAGCAAAGATGGTCTTGTTAACTACTAGGTTTGACAGAAAAGCCTCTGACTCCTGCAAGACAAAAGACAAACTGGATTAAGAGAGAATCATTACAGAGGACAAACAAATCTAAAGCATTTTTTAAACTCTTCAAACTATGAAGGGCTAGAATTTCTTATTAACAGCCACTGCTGACTACAATGATAACGCAGGAGCAGAACGAATGCACTTATTGTGTGACGGTCTAAGCAGCGAACAGAACTGGGGTCTCCTCAGAGTCAGGGCTGAGCCTGAATCACCTCTTTCCAGGCTTCCGGCTGCTGGGCTAGGGACACAGCTGGCTCCATGGGCAAGCTGCCCTCCTCCCTTTGCGAGCTCCCTGCTAAAAGGTGCTGTGGTATAGATCACATGGCTCCAGAATCCTAGGTCAGGATGTTGTTCGCTACGCCCCCTCGCCATGGACACATTTCTAAGGACTTGGGTGCTGTCATCCACAAGTGAGAATTAGTTAACCAACCAAGGTTCACGTCTTTTAACTCTTAATAGTCATGATTCCTCTTTTCCGGTAAACTGTGACTTTTCATAAAGAAACAGCCCTTTAGGCCATGACCACCATACCTCTGCACACTACACTGTGGTCAACAGGAGATGCAAGCCTGACCGCAATGCTCCTCTAAGGAGTCCTCTGCTGCTGAACGACAGCCGAATCTGCCTCACGTAATACAAACCTAAACACACTGATTGTATACATGCTCTGAACTTTAAATCAATAAAGCTAACATTTAAGTAAAAGCCCTGATTGGGGGGGAGGTAATGAGAACTGAATCTAGACCAGAGCTGCATCTCCGGCCCCTAGGTGAAGACTTTCATCTAGTGTAAATACTAACAATGTATGTAATGGTAAACCTATCATTTAGGTTATGTTTTGGTACTCAAGATGATTTGGAAAACTTTCTATCATCAAAACTTAAATAACGAAACAAATTTTTTTCCACTCAATTTTTCCCATTGACTGATACGCAAAAGAATGCTGTTCATCACTTACATCAACAGAAAGATCCAGAAGTTGTGCCATCCTTTTCATTGTAATTCGAGTGTAGTACTTGGCCATTATTCTAATATTCTGGGGACAGGACAGAGGGCAGGGGGACAACAGCAGCCGTCAGTAAGGTTGAAAGTCCACTCATTTTCATACTCAAATAAGTTCACTTACAATGTCAGACTCTACCCACCACTAGAATGAAGCTGGTTCTAGATTTCAAAAGCAAGCCTAAACACTGAGATATTTTGGTTTCTGTAGTTATTTCTGAGTTACTATGAGTATCTAACACAATTCTTTAAGTACATAGTCTAATAAGTAGTCTGTTTTCAATAACTTGTGGTTAATAAATAGCAACAGCACTAAAATATTTTTGCCAAGTGCAAGCACCTAACGTTTCTATTTATTTATGGGTTTGAGCAAGGTCTCACTATGTAGTGAGGGTGATCTCAAACTTGCTATGTAAGCAGGCTGGTTTTGAATGTGCAATTTTCCTGCCTCAGCCTCTCAACTACTAAGATCACAGATGCACACCATGACATCTGGCTGACACAAATGTTTTAAAGGCTAAAACTCAAAATACATACATTCATACATACATGCATGCATAATAGGAGAGAATCTCAAAATGCTTATCACTTACATCTTTCTGATTATTTAAGGGCAACTTGAAATTAAGTTTTCTAATTTCCAGTGGGAATGGTGAAATTAGAGATACAGACTCCCTTTACTATTATATCAGTGTCTTAACAAAACACCAACGCCTACATAAAAAAATGAGGAGTGGGGCTAAAAATGAACTCAACTTGGAAGGCGCTGCCCCTCTTGGCTGTATCAGGCCCGACAATAACACTAGCCTCCAAGAAAGCCCGAGAGGCATTCCTTTTCCCTCACCTTTGCTTTGTTTTGTTCTTGTTTTTTTGAGATAGGATCTTATTATGTAGTTCAGGCTGGCCTCGAACTTGCAGCTGATCCTCCTGCCTCAGCCTCCTGAGAGTTCATTATAGGCGCAGACTACTATGCTCCCCCCTCTTTACCCTTTACAGTGAATCACATGACCACAATCTAATGTTATCCTTTTTGGTTTTTTATTTTTTATTTTTTTTGGTCTTTTTATCGGTACCAGGGATCGATCACGACTGCCTGCTTGCAAGGCAGGTGCTTATGCCGCTGAGCTAAACCCCCAGCCCCTAAAAAAAAAAAATTTTTTTTTTGGTCTTTTCCCTTTTTATTGGTACCGGGGATCGAACTCACGACTGCCTGCTTGCAAGGCAGGTGCTTATGCAGCTGAGCTAACTCCACGTTCCCTCTTCAATCTCTTGGTTGCTGCTTTAACTCACTTATTTATTTATTTTTGTCTTTTTCATTTTTATCGGTACCAGGGATCGAACTCACGACCGCCTGCTTGCAAGGCAGGTGCTTGTGCCGCTGAGCTAAATCCCCAGCCCCTGCTGCTTTAACTCAAATGCACACAGCTCTCCCTTAACAAGCTGTTGCATCTTCAATCCGGGGGTATCTCTCTAGATTCACGGTTCACACTCACAGGGAGACTCTGTAAACTACAAGCGTGGACACTATGCACTTGAAAGTTTTCATTACTGGGATGTATGAAATTTGTGTATGATCTTTCCTGACCTCCAACTTTTCCTGGAGTTGCCCAAATTTCCCGATGTCTGTACCTATGACTAAGCCATCTGCCAAAGTGACTGCTGTCCCTGTCTGCCTGGTAACTATGTCCTTTCTTTTTTGGGCGTGGAGGGATTGCTTTGTTTTGTTTTTGAGACAGAGTCTCGCTATGTAGTTCAGGCTGGCCTTGAAGTCCCGGGTGATCCACCTGCCTTAGCCTCTCCAGTGCTGGGATTACAGGCATGCACCATGGCACCTGGCCGTGTCCTCCTCTTTCAAGTCTGAACTACCCCGCTCAATCCCTTCAGCCTCCAGACTGACCCTTCTTCCACAGAAAGCCAAACAACTTGACTCTGCACACCTGCACCATACTATCGTAATATTTTTTATTTATAAACATCTTTCCCCATGATTTTTAATCTTTCTGAAGGCAGGGGATACGTCTCATTCTCCCACATGCCCCAGTACTTTGTATAGTATCTGGTACACAGAAAGCTCCTAAGAAATATTTGTTACATGAACAAATCAATGACATGATTCAGTTTACGGTGATACTAAGAAGATCAAAGTTCAGGTATAAGATATGTAAGTCACTTGCAAGATAGCAAGTGAGTATCAAAGTGAAACGTTCTTTCACCTCATTCTTAGAAAATGTTTTCTGGGAGTTTTTTTCATTTTGTTGACTTTTGGAGTCAGGAAGGCTGGGCTCAAACTGCCTCAGCTTATAAGTAGATGGGATTACAGACTCACGCCCTAGGGAAGGACCTACCTCCTGGTTTACAGGCTACAAAACTTTGTATTCTTGGGAGGCCCTCCCAAAATGAAACATGCTCAACAGTTATTTTTTCTAGTAAGCCAAAAATGCTAATATATTACTTGTTAAACTTAAAAAAATAATAATAAAATAAAAAAACACAAATAGGAAAAAGACAACATGGCTGGGATAAATTCTGATATTGGGAAAGAGTGAGCATTTGAACAACAAGTGTACATTCCCCCAATGGAGGGCATAGGAAAAACTTTTTTTAAGAATTTAAAAACATAACATCCAAAAGAAACTACTGACTACCAAATTTACAAAATAGAAATTAGACTAGTGGACGCCTATAATCCCAGCTACATCACAGACATGATGGGATTTTACTTTTTAAGAGTCAGTTTTTTTTTCATTAGTATATGTACAATTATTTCAAAGATTGAAACACACTGTCCAGCAGAGACCAGAATATTAACTGTGGGAATGTTCTACTTAGTATTACCATAGGAAAAGAGTTAGTTTTTTTTCGTCTTAGGAGGCTGAAGCAGGAAGATAGCAAGTTGAAGTTCAGTGCAGGCAAGAATCTGTCTCAAATTTTTAAAAAAGTGGGTGGGAAAGTAGCTTAGTGTGAGGCTGAGTTCAGTCTCCAATACTGCCGTAGAAAAAGTGTTTATGCTCAAAATTTAACCTGAAAATGATCCAGAAAAGTAAATTCACTAAAGGTTAAAATAAAAAATGTCATTTCTACCATGCCAGATCCTTACGTGTTCAACAACTCTGTTCTTCAAATCTTTCCACCTTTTTTCCCCTTCTTCTGTAGAGGCAAAAACATCTGTCGCAGGGCTGTCGAGGGAGCCTTTCCTTAGTTCCATTCCATAGTCCTCCACAAGTGTAGACCAGCGCATTAGCTCCATCGTGGTGAAAAGCTTTAAAAGATCCCTGTGAAGAGCAGACAACTTAGTATTCCAACCCTATAAAAATTAAGCATTATCTAAACATTTTCAACTGCCTTAGTGCAAAAATCCAAAATGCTTCAAAATCTGAAACTTTCTGAGCCCCAGTACATAATGCCTCAAGTGAAATTTCTCCACCTGACTTCATGTGTTCCAAGCTAGAGTGTCCTAAGATCAACAAGCTGAACTTGTGTGTGAGTAATTTGTAGAAAATGTCTGCTTATTGGGAGCACAGAAATTCAGTCAGGAAAGATAGTGATGCTTTTTCACTGTGTGTAAACTTTGTTTTATAAATAAAAATTTCAGGGCTGGGGATTTGGCTCAGTGGCATACGTGCCTGCCTTGCAAGCGTGCGGTTGTGAGTTCAATCCCTGGCACAAAATAAATAAATAAAAAATTTAAAACACACTGTATAAATTTATCTCCAGGCTATGTGTATGAAGTATATAAAAAACAAATGAATTTTGTGTTTAGACTTGGTCTACATCCTCAATGATCAATTATGTATACAAAATATTTCAAAATCTGGTTTAAAAAAATTTGAAATTGGAAACACTTCTGATCCCAAGTACTCCAGAGTCTCAGCATGTGTAAGCAGCAAATTAAAAAAATAAAACGAGACTATTTTTATACATTTTTATTTAGGATGAAAATTTGGCTGTTATTTATTCTACTGACTTTCTTTTTTTCCTATGGTAATATTAAGTAGAAGATTCCCACAGTTAATATTCTGGTCTCTTCTGGACAGTATTTGTTCAATCCCTGGTACCAATTAAAAAAAAAAAAAAGAAAAAAAGTAAAATCCCATCATGTCTGTGATGTAGCATGTCTATTTCACAGATTTTAGAAGTATTTTTGAAAAAAATCATCAAGTCTTACATGTTAACGATAAAACTTTATAAAATGACTAAACAAAAGCAAATTAAACTTGGTAAGTAATTTAGAATAAAATGTTATAATCTCATTACATTAATTTCTGATGCAAGCCTGAAAAACATCTCACCACTCTGTTTAGTTTTGTTGTCTACTACAATCTATCAATAATCAATGAAGAAGTGTGTACTGCGGTGAACTAATTTTCTTTCAAAATGCTGTTTCTCAGGACGGCCATCTTTTGCAAAAGGGAAGAGGATCAATGGAGATGTGTGGAGGGAGAGAGGGAGGGGAAGTACAAAGAATTAAAATGTGTTATGCAGAGGTACCAACTCCTCACAAGGAATGTAATCATTATGCATGCAAACAACCAGTAAGAATAAATTTTTCAAAAAATAGTGAAATACTTCTGAAAATAGTATGCTAATTACAAACTCACTTACTTGTATTTGGGAATTTCTTCTAACTTTTTGTCACCACTTATTCGGTGAACCAAATCTGACTGTTCATTATCAAAAGGAGCCAGGATAACATAGAGAACAACACTTTTCAGAGCCTGAAAAAGTTGTACAACACAATAGATTACATGCAATGTGAGAAATGTAATGGAAACTTTGACAAGAGGTAAAAAATTATGGAATGACTGCATATATTAATTTTAATTTTAATTTTTTTTTGGGCAACAAAGTCTTGCTATGTAGTTTGAGCTGGGCTTGAACTTACTTTGTAGCCAGGCCAGTCTTGAGCTTGCAACGATTCTCCTGCCTCAGCCTTCTGTGTGCTAGGATTACAGTCATACGCTATCACATCCAGCCTATCACTTTATAGGTTTGTACTCAAAAAGTTTTGGGAGGAAAATCTTGTTAGGGTGCCTTTTCCATAATATTTAATTTCATAAGGCTAATATAATAAATATTTGAATTATTACCTTCACTGATATTTTTAAACATTCATTTTAACTAGTACATAAAGGAGAAATTCTTATAACAAGTTAGCAGCACAAATGTGAATATACAGAAAACTTTAAGAGGCTTGGTTTTAAAAAAAAAGTTTTCCAAAGTAATACTGAGTCTGAACTACTATACTTGTTACACATTAAGCCTTTGGTTCTTCAAAAGTGGTACATGATTTAAATGCTTACCCCAATTAGTACAACACAGTAACGGTACACTAAGTATCAGCACGACAAACAAAAAGTGACACCGCACACCAGCTTATAACTGACCCGGAAGGAGAAAGGAGTGACTCTTCCCTAACAAACACCACCTGAATGCTGAGAACGCTGTTTTACCTGCTGCCACTTTTCACTTTCTGCCTGTATACAGGGAGTGTCATATATCGCTCTGTAGTGCTTACAAATAGACAGATAGGAGCCCTCATGCTGATCCAGCTGAATCATTAAATTATAGTATTTCAACTTTAATTTCTGAAAAAATAAAAAAGGTAAAATAAAGTGAGGTTTATGGGTTTTATTCAAACACTTTTGCGTTAAACACAGAGTCAGAGCCATGCTCACCTCTGTGTTTTCTTCCTGGAAGAACTTTGTGTTAATCTTCTTGCTGATGATCTGTGTCCGAATGTAATCCTTCACAGCCAGGCACAACCGCATCTGCTCCAAGATAAACTCCACTCGCTCTTTTTTCTCCATGGACCCATAGGTTTCCACCTAGCATAGTGAATTCCTCAGGTAAGTTTAGAACACTTACTAATTTTTATAACTTGTTACAAATTAGGGTATTTAAAAATCTTCCTTGCAAAATAAGAACCATCATGTATACATAAAAGGTCGATAATTATATAAATAGCCATTTCCCTTCAGGAAATTACAATTTAAATAGTCACTGGAACAGTAAACTGTTTCTCTCTCCTTTTGGTGTCTGTGAACTTTAATACACGTATTGGTTTGTGTAACTACCATCACAGTAATGATGCAGAGCACTTCTATCACCCCCAAAACGTCTTCACACTACCCTCTTATAGTGCATACTCCCCTACTTATGAGCTCTGACCACCACCACCTGTTCTCCATCAGCAGATAAGCCTTTTCAAGGATGTCAAATGTAGTACGCGGTCGGGGCTGGGGATTTAGCTCAGCGGCATAAGCACCTGCCTTGCAAAGCAGGCGTCGTGAGTTCGATCCCTGGTACCGATAAAAAAAAAAAAAAAATGCAGTATGCAGTCTTTGGAGTATGTCTTATTTATTTATTTATTTTTGTCTTTTTCCTTTTTATGGGTACCGGGGATCAAACTCACGACTACCTGCTTGCAAGCAGGCGCTTACGCCACTGAGCTAAATCTCCAGCCCCTGTCTTTTTTTTTTTGAGACAGGGTTTTGCTATGTATATAGTTCGGGCTAGTCTTTTTTATTTTTTTTATTTTTTTTGGCTTTTTCATTTTTATCAATACCGGGGATCGAACTCATGACCGCCTGCTTGTAGGGCAGATACTTATTCGGGCTAGTCTTGAACTCACTAAGGAGCCCACCTGGCCTTGAACCTGCAGTGATCTTCCTGCCTCAGCCTCCTGAGTGCTAGGATGACAGGTGTGCACCACTATCCCTGCCACTGGAGAATGTCATAACTCACTCCACATATTGTCCAGAATTGTAAGATTCCCTCAAGTTGTGCATGTTAGTACATTCTTTTAATTGTTTAGTAGTAGTCCACTGTACAGACACAGCAAAGATTATCTAAGAACCTACAGAGGCGCATCCGGGCTGATCCCATCCTCAGGCTATCACAAATAATGTGACTCTTGAGGTTAGTGAAAAGGTTTCTTTTCTCATACACAAATATCAGGACTGGGACTGCTGGGTCATGTTAAGGATACATTTAACTTTATAAGAAACTGCCAAATTGCTTTCCAGAGTGGCTGCACCATTTTGTGTTCTAATAGCAACATATCTGAGTCTTAGCTGCTCTGCGTCGCCATTAGCAGTTGTACTGGTTTTATTTTTATTTTTTGTCTTGTTGAGACAGGGTCTCACTATGCAGTTCAGGCTGCCCTGGAGCTCACTTGTAGCCCAGGCTGGTCTTGAACTCCTAACAATCCTCCTGCCTCAGCCTCCCAAGTGCTCAGATTACAGGCATGAGCCACCATGCCCGGCTCTGGTTTTTAATTTTAACCTTTCTAATAGGTACGTAGTTTCTTCTCATGAGTAATGTGAAAAAAAATTCACAGGCTTTCAATATATTACAGCAAATATCATATTAAAAAGCACTCATCTTTTTAAATTCAGATAACAAGGCTGATGTGACACCTAATATAAAATGTAGAGCTCTATTAGATGTATACAAATATACAATGCAGAGAATAGATTACACAGAACCACCATAAAAAAGTTCTTTTTTTGTTTGTTTCTTTTGAGACAGGGTCTAGCTGTGTAGTTCAGACTGGCCTTGACCTCACAGGGCTCCTGCTGCCTTAATCTTCAAGTGGTGTGCTGCAATGCCCGGCTAGCCCGGCTAGAAACAACTCTAACTACACAGTATAAATGAATTATAAAATCCAGGACAATTCACTTACAGAGTAGAATGAAAGCTATTCATCAGTGTCTCTAATTTTTTCCCCCCTCGGTACTAATAAGAACTCAACTCTCGAGTTATACCCTTAGCTCATTTTTGTTTTTATTTTCAGGCAGGTTTCTTGCTCATGCTAGCCTCAAACTTGCAATGTTTCTGTCCCAGATTCCTGAGCGCCTAGGATTATAGGCATGTAGCACTACATCCAGCCTGTAATTATTATTATTTTTATTTATTTATTTATTTATTGAGGCAAGTCCTCTCTCTCTGTAGTTCAGGCTGGCCTTGAACTCATTATGTAGTTCCAAGGCTGCCCCTGTAGTTCTTAGGCGTATACCTAGCTTCTCTGTAACTTTTTATTTTATGTATAAAGACATTTATTTTAATTTTTTATTTTATTTATAAAGACATGATGCCTAGCTTCTTTGTAATTCTTTTATTTAGGAAAATTACAAATATACAAATGAACCATCAACATTTCATTTATACATCTTCACTCATTTTCCATATGTCAACTACTCTGAAGCAAACCTTACTCTACATATATGTAAATATTTCAGTAGATTTTTTTTTTATCGGTACCAGGGGTCGAACTCACGACTGCCTGCTTGCAAGGCAGACGCTTATGCCGCTGAGCTAAATCCCCAGCCCCTTCAGTAGATATTTCTAAAATATAATTTAAAAAACCATTTTATCCCCAAAATTCCTTATATTACCATGCATCTAGCAGGTCTCCAACGGCCTCATAACTTTTTAAGCCGCAGTACCCAGATACTCACTCGGTTCTCAGCAGCTATTTCTTTTCTTTCTTGCAGTGCTGGGAAGCCAACACAGAGCCCTGTGCCTGCTAGGTGAAAGCTCCAACACTGAGCTACCCCTGACTCTAGCAGTTTTTCACTGCTAAACAAATTTGGTCTAGAAATTTACCAGAAATCAAATATTCATTAAGAATGAAGTCAGTGGTTAACCATGTACAAGTAAACAGAATTCAAACACTGAAACAATTGCACGGACATAAGACAGATCTACACATCCTAATTTTTCTTCAGAACCTCTAATGGTCTGAATGACTGCACACCCTGCTGCATCCTTTACTCTTGGTGGTTCAGCACAAAGAGATGAGGTGCCAAAATGAATTACTTCCACCAAAAAGTTCTGCTGACTCAGGACAGTCTTACAAATGCCAACGGTGCCCACCTGCAACTCCTGTAAGATCGAGGCCGCTTCTTTGACGTCGCCATTTTGTTCTTTTATGGTTGCTAATGTTTTAGTCAGTCGCGCACGCTCAATTTCAACATAAATCTACAAACAGAGAAAACATTATCAAAATTCTTGCCAAAATGTACAGAAATTTAAAAGAACTGCTCAAACTACACTGAAAAGCATGTATCTTACTGCTATTGTGCACTGTATCTTCCACATATAGTTAAAAGATGTTTTACTTCAGAGCCATCATTTTAAAGGAAATCTCTATAAAATATTATCTGCATTCTCTAGCTTTAAGACCCTAAATAGGAAATTAGTATGTTTGATAAATAACATGACCACAAGCTATATGCGTGGCTAAGTGGCACAGAAAATGGAAAGTGGCTTTAAAAGAATTATTTGGAAAATAACAAACAGGGCCGGGGATTTAGCTCGTGGCCACTTAAGTACCTGCTGGTACGAGCAAGGTTGAGAGTTTGACCCCCGGCACCAAACACAAACGAAGAAAATGACATGTGGTTCAACACCATATCTACACTTTAATCAGTGCCTTGAATTTGCTTCGTGGTGGGGTTTCTGGAACTAAGCTCAGGGCCTGACGCCCGCCGAGTGTGTACCCTACCACTAGGCTACACTCCAGCCCAATTCACTCTTAAATGTAGGACTGCTTTAACAGCATCTGATCTTCTGAAGTACTAGAGTTGCTAGTACTTTTGTAGCTATGAGTTCTGTTAATAGATTTATCACCTCTAACAAATAGACATTAGAAGCACAACTAGACCCTGAAGAGCCCAGGGTACTGATGGCTGGCTGTGGCAGCCGTGCCGCAGGCTCTGTGGTCTCGGAAACGAGTTCTCTGTGCAGCAACCCCTCCCTCGTCTCGGAAAACCTAGCATCAAACCACTTACCCAGTTTCCTAACACACCGTGTGTTTCTAAGTTGTTGCTTTTTTTTTTTAATGAGTGCGTCACTGTATTTCTTGACATTTAGGAAGATCCTAAATGTAATGTACATCCAAAGATAGTAAGTAAACTAAGATAATGACAGTTTTATGTATTTCTTACAAAAATAAATGTACACAGGCTACTGTGTGGTGTGCCTTGCCTTGAAAATAAAAATAAAGATGCATATGTGGTACCCTTGTATACAATGCCTAAATACATAACTATTTCTTAATGCAGATACGAGAGAAAATACCACTGTGAGTTACGTCGATAGAGACTCACCTTTCCTTCTGTAACCATTCGTAGTGTGTCAATTAACCGAAGTTTCACCGGGAGGTCCGTGATTTCTTCAACATAAGTACAGCACTGTTGAACCATTTTTGCAACAGCCTAAAATATTAAAAACTACTTATAAACAAAACTCACTCCTCACACAGGATAAAAAGGCATTCTGATGAAAGGGCTATGGTAAAATCTGATTTTTCTAGCTGGGTGCAGTGGTGCATAGCCCTGATCCCAGCACTCGGAAGGCCGAGGCAGGAGGATCATTGTGCGTGGCGAGGTCAACCTGAGCCATATAGTGAGTACAACACCAGCCTAAACTACATAGCAAGATCCTGTCTCAAAACACCAAAAAAACTCCCAGAACCCAAACAAAGGAACAAAAAACCTGGTCTTCCTAAGTGACTACACTGAAACACCCCCAAAGTAATATCAAAGCACCTCAATCTCCCCAATAGCTATATTACTGTATTGAACATTCAGTAACAAATCAATCAGAAAAACTTCAGAAGCAAACATGTAGCCAAGTAAAAACACGTGGGAAAATGTTAGACTAATGAGGGGAAAAAGGCAAAGAAAAGCAGAGTTCCACATCGACCCATAACCATGGGACACCATCAGGAAGGACAAGAATCTGTGGCAGAGGGGCTGGGGATTTAGCTCAACGGCATAAGAGGCTGCTTGCAAGGCTTGTGAGTCGTGAGTTCAATCCCGGGCACCGATAACAAAAAAAAGAAAAAAAAAAAAAAAAAAAAAAAAAGAATCTGTGACAGAGGGAAAAAAATAAAACAGTTTTATCCTCTGTCCTCACCCATACCCACACTCAGTAAACTGTGGCACTGAAAGTCAGAAATTCTCTTTTCTCCGGTTTTCTCCTAAATAACAGGAGACTGGACCACACTCCCTGCTCATCTCATGACTGAAGTCAGAGGGCAGCAAGTTGCATCTGCACATTTTGTATACACATACCAATAGCTGTCCCAGACTTTGTCTCTGTGACACATACTCAACTTAGCATTTGAGACCCAAAAGCTGACAGAGCAACACAAACTAATGGCTGTGTTTCAGTAAGTTCACTTACAAAAATAGGTAGCAGGTGGGATCTGGCCTTCCATACACCATTTGTCATCCTCTATTTAGGTTGGTTTTTTTTTTTTTTTTTTGGTGCTGGGGAATTGAACTCACGACCTCACGCTTGCCAGGTAGGCACTTACACCACTGAGCTAATTTAGCTTTTAGCTAATTTAGATTTTAAATAGCATATTATAATCATTCATAATAATCACTAGGACCCTGAATCATCAATGTTAAATTACATAAGTATAATTTAAGGTAGCAGAAAAGTAAAGAGAGTTATCTTGGAAAGATTTTTATTAAAAATATTTAGTGAAGTAGTTCAGGTAACACTTTTAACTACCTGAAAAACTGGGTACTGAGAGACTCAGTGGTTCTAGAAGCTAAAGGATTTTGAAGATACATTTATGTATGTGCACATGCACACGTTTTTTGCTCGTTTGTTTGTGTTTGTTTAATCTGATTACAATTACTATATTCCTCAGGCTGGCCTTGAATTCCCAAGTTCAAGCAACTTTCCTACCTCAGGCTCCTAAGCAGCTGGGACTACAAATATATGACATCATGCCTAGCTAGAGCTAAGAGTTTAGTGCAAGGATTTGAGACATCAGTATTTCAGAAAAACGTATAATCCCTCTAAAATGCATTATAATGACTTCTAGAAGAGTGCCTAACTTGATAACTCTAAAAGTTATGCAAAAAACCCCCCAAAAAACAAAAAAAACACCCCAGAACATTATAGGACTCAGGATGTAACTCCATGGTAGGACACTTACCTGGCGCACCCAAGGCCCAGGCTCCATCCCCAGCACTTTGCACCCACCATAGCACAGCAGAGCAAAGCAAAGCAACCCAACCTAACCCGCCAACCACACAAAAAACACATGGGGTAAAAACAAAACCTTAATACCAATACTCTAATTTGAACATCTTACTGTTCTCTGAAAGGATGCAGGTAAGTCCTTAGGGAAGTTGTGGTTGGTATGAATTCTGGACTCAAGTGACAGTTTGAAAGTCTTAATTTGAAGCAACGCAAGAAAAGATTGCTTTTTCCTTTTAGTAATAAGGGTAGAAACCAGCGTCTTCACACTGAACTTTATTACTAATCTCCTTTTTTATTTTTTATTTGAAAGAGGGTCTTCCTGGGCTGGGGACATAGATATACCTCAGCGGCAGTGCCTGCCTGGCAAATTCAAGGTCCTGGTCTTGCTAAATCACTAAGTTGCTCAGGTTGGGCTGGAACTTTTGATCCTCCTGCCTCTGCCTCCCAGAATGCTGGAATTACAGGCATGTGCCACCACACCCAGTTGGAAAAGTTACTTTCTAAATATGCTTAAGCAAAGAAAAATTTCTTTGGTTTTAAAAAATAAAACTTAGGAAAAGGACATTATAAGTCCCTTATGGAGATATAATATGTTACAGAGCAAAGAGCTGCCTAATTCCAGTTCTGGTGTCCTCTAGAGACACTGGTTAGGGGACCCCATTCTTTTCCCCACGTCTCTGCAACGTATATAACCAAACACTTTTTTTTCCTTCTTTCACAACTCTCCCATGATTTACTATATAACACCCAGTACAGGAGGGTCATTTCACAACAATCAACCTTAAGGATACATATTAAAAGTGTGCTATGATATCCTAAATTAACATCTATTATTTTGTATAATGTGAACTCTCAAAAAATTTCTTACCTCAAACAAACCAACAAAAAAGTGTACCATGATTACTCATGATTTAGATTCTTTACTACACTGCAGGGTAGGGCAAGAATTTACACGTTTCTTCGCATTATAAGAACAAAGAGATTAAAAAAAAAAAAAAAAGAACACAGAGATTAATCAGTTTCTCTTTTTGAGACAAAGTCTCACTATGTAGTTCAGTGGCCTTGAGCTCACCTTATAGCTCAGGCCAGTCTCAGACTTGCAACAATCTCCTGCCTCCATCTTGACCAAAGTCTTGAATTATGACCTCAATGCCAGTTGCTTATGCTTCCATATGGTGTCTGATACAGATTTAACCTTTAAAGAGTATTGAACATTACAACCTCCTTTCTTGTACTGGGTTAACTGAGAAATCCTGGGCCAGTGTCTCTCGAAGGACACTGAACTCTGCCTGTACACAGGAGAAAGACTTGGAAGGCTGTGTAGAGGAGCCTGAGCCTTCCACTGACAACTCGAGTTACAACCAGCCCTCAGGAATGGGTTGAGTTCCTAAGTCAAGGGTCCACTTATATCTATTTCAAGTTCTACTACCACGTCTTTTACAGATCATTGTCTTTACTAATTAAAAGCCCCCCCCCAAAAAAAAACCCCAGAAACTACTCAGGAAATGGCATTTTAAATATGAGCTACATAAGCCAGATATGATGGTGCACGCTTATAATCCCAGCATTCAGGAGGCAGGAGGATCACTAGGAGTTTAAGGATAGTCTGGGCTATATAGTGAGCTCAAGGCCAGTCTGAGTCACATAGCAAGACCCTGTCTCAAAAAACAAAATAAAAATAAAACCAAACCAAACCACAATGAAACAAAAAAGATGGACTATATATACAAAAATGAAAGTACTTCTAAAGAGAATTGTTAAAATATATTTTATGCAGGAGAATCAGTAAACAGTTCAAAAACAGTAGAAGAGAACTTATATAATCTTTTTTTTTTTGTCTTTTTGAGACAGGGTCTCACTATGTGGTTCAGGCTGGCCTTAAGCCCAGGCTGGTCTCAAACTTGCTACAACCCGCCAGGCCTCAGCCTCCCAAGTGCTGGAATTACAGGAGTAAGCCACCACACCCGGCTGAGAATTTACATAATCTTAAACAAAATAAGTAGTCAAAGTAATATGTCTATATATGGCTTCAAATAAATTAGTAAATGAGATTATCAACTTAATAGATTATACAACAATTTAAAATTTTAAAAACAAAGATAAGGAAAAATAGGGAAATAGAAAAAAGCTACAGGAACACTCTTAAGTACCATTCTATAAAAATACGTAAAAATGTAAAGACAACAAAAAACAGATGAAAATAATATTAAGAGAAAAATGGGAAGACTTTTAATATACCATTTAGAACATGTTGATTTAACTCATTTTCAACAGGCTCATGAAACAGTTTTCTGAAAGTCCTCACTTAAATGCAAATGTATTTGTTTAATGAGCAATCATGAACTCACTTGTTTTAACTGACTCCTCCTTTTTGACAAAAGCATAATATTTTCATTGAGTAAATCCCATTCTTTAGCCTCGTAGCACATCTTCACTACCGCAACTAATATACGCGAGGTAGACACCATATCCGAAGCCTGTAAGAATGAAAATGTAGTGAAAGTAAGTCAAATAAAAACACTTCCAAGGAGACTAATGATAACTGAAGTTTAGGTTGTTATGCACTCACAGTACGGGTCTGTTTTTCTAAAGACAGAAGGGTTTCAATGACTTCTTGAAGTCTTCCTTCCTAAAACAAAAGACAAAAATGAACAATGAAAAAATACCACTACAAACAGAAACAAAATTGCTGACCTACTTAGGTATTTCTGACATAGAAAAGGAAAAAATCAATGGCCTAGAGGAAAAACGCTACCTATAACCACTCCGTTTTGTTTCTCTCCAGTTCACGATGTTAGCTTCTGCTGCTTGGAATTGGTTCCCCTCTCAGGGCCCACACACACTTTTCCCTAACACACAGAAAAGAAAACACTAAGAAAAGTCAAACATAATGACATAATGTCTCATTGGAAAAAAACCACCAAGTCTTTGTTTCGGATTCTAGTTTATCAAACCAGAGTGGTATCAACTGCTTTATGTTGTTCAGCACAGAGACTGGTAGTCTCAGTAACTCTGAAGAATAAAAAATAAGAAAAAAAATTTTTTCTTTGACAGTCACTATAACAATTTTTGCTTTTTGTTTTTTGAGACAATGTCTCACTCTGTAGTTCAGGCTGGTCTCAAACGCCAAGCTTCCGCCTTCCAAGTGCTATCATTACAGGCATGTGCCACCACACCTGGCTCCAAGGTAATTTTTCTTTCTCTTTTGTGGTGCTGGCTTCATGCACACCTAGTACTCACAGCTTTCACTGATACAGCCCATTGCGCATGCGTGCTATGGGTGCACCATCACTAAACTATTATTTTTATGCAGCTTTGAATATGTATTGTATAATCATTGTCTGAACCTGTACTACTTCCGAATGAATATTCTATGGATTCAAGTATACAATAAATGCTGATTAAACATTCAACAGAACAGCCGGGCATTGTGGCACATGCTTGTAACCCAGCATTTGGGAGGCTGAGGGAGGAAGACTGTTGCTAGCTCGAGACCAACCTGGGCTACAAAGTAAGCTCAACGCCAGCCTGAACTGCATAGTGAGACCTTGTCTCAAACACACATGCACACATACACCAAAAGAAAGGAACAATGAACAAATCTATCCATTTTCCAAAGCTAAAGAGTAATAAATCATAAAAGATAAAAAAAATGCTAGAACTAGAAAAAACTAGCAGAGATTATTTAATTCTACCATCTCATTTTAGAAATTAAAAGACCAAGGAGTTCAGGAGACCTGCTCACTCACAAAAGTCATCATCAGAACTGGATCTTAGGGTTCTCTGGGTTCTCAATGTGTCTCTACTACACTGCAGTTACCGGCTTCCTGTACTATAGTATACCATGCCTTTTCCTTTATCTAAGTCATTTCCTAAGGAAAAGGGCTTATATATCTTGAAAAAGTGCAAAATGCCAAAATGCAAAATATTGTTTGCTTACAAGGACAGTCATCCCCTGTCACACTTGCAGTTACTGTGATCAAGTGACGATGACCCCATCAGTGCTAATATGACATGCTAATCCAGAAGCCTGAGTACTGAAGAAGTGTACCCCAACACAGGAGGAAATCATGCTACTCCAGAGCCATGGACTGTGTTCTTAGCTAAGGCTCTAAAATCAGCAGTCACTTAGCACCTCTTTTAATAACCAACTGTACTGACTCTGCCCTGCAATTTCCCCCAACTATACTGTGTTAAAGCTTACTCCTGTCACCTCACCAGGATACATAATCTCTTAATAAGGACTACCTGTATCTGTATTGCTCACCACTAGGACAAGTAATGGGGCTTCTGCACACATGTTGGTACAGCGTATCTTACCAAATGGTACGTTCCTTTAGGGATGGCTCTTTGTTTAATTGTTGCTTCCCTTGCACCAACTTGCACATAGTACAGGTATGTGTTGAATGGATGACCTGACCTGAACTATTTAGTTATCTTAATGGCTTACAATTCTTGATTCTTACTGTGAAAAACAATTACGGCTGTCAGCTTAGTGCTACTTGAGGGATACAACTATCAATTTCATTAATGCTACTTCCAATCCTCAAGTCATCCCACTTCCCTGTCTTCCAAATTAAATCCTCTGTCTAAACATCTTCCTTCTTCCTGTCCATTCACAGTTCTTGAAATTCCACCTCTTGGATGCTACCTTTCAACTCAGAGGAAACAAGATGGCTGCACCAACCCAAAACAAATCTGTTGGAACATGCAACCTCTGTGACTCACTGTTCTCATTAAAATACTCCTCTTAGGGACTGGGGATATAAGCTCAGGGGCACAACACCTGATGTGAGGTTGTGAATTCAATCCCTGGTGGGGGGAGGGATTGAATAATCTTTGTAAATGAGGTAAGTAACTTGAGTTTGCCCAATGTTTGGTATTTGTAATTCTGTTTGTCTCCTTAAAAGTCCTAAATGAATCCAGTCTGTTAATTTGTTAAATAACATAAACAAGAAAAAGGTTAATAAAAAGTTAATCACACACAGTTGAAATTTAAAGCCAATCCAATACTTGTGTGTGACGTATTTCTTAAAATGTTCTTTTATTCAAGCTGCTAACAATGAGTACATTGTTTTACATTTTGTCTCTTCTTTATTATTAATATTGACCTTGAGAAGAAAATGCAGGTGACATGACAGAGGCTGGGGATTTAGCTCAGCTGCATAAGCACCTGCCTTGCAGGTGTGCAGTCGTGAGTTCGATCCCTGGTACCGATAAAAACGAAAAAGACAAAAAAAAAAAGATGTGATGACAGCCTGGAGTGGTGGACACATGTCTGTAATCCTAGGTACTCCTGAGGCTGAGGCAAGAGGATCAAAACAAGCTCAAGGCCAAATTGAGTCATTTAGTGAGTTTGTCTCAAAAAAAAATTGTAAAAAGATCTGGGGAGGTAGTTCATGGAAGAGCACTTGCTAAGCATGCACAAGGCCCTGGGTTCATCCCTAGTGCTGAGGGGAAAAAAAAAGAAAAAGAAAAAGGAAGAAAAGCAACGAAGACATTAAGGGAAAGGAGAACAAAAAATATAGTATTCATTTTAAGAATATAAGGAGTGGTCAGATCTTGTCACACAGGGCTGTAATCCCAGGACTCTGGGATTTAACCCAGGAAGGCTGAGGCAGGAAGATGACAAATTCAAGTTGAGCTGAGCCTACGAAATTTAGCAACTTAGAAGAACCCTACCTCAACATTTAAAAATGAACTAGGAATATAGCTCAGTGGGAAGGCCCTGGGTTCAACTGCCAGTATGGGGAAACATACACCCCAAAACTGAACAAGAATGTAAGTAGTCCTCAGATAATCATGTGCCAAATACAATTATAATCAAAAAGGGAGAATAGAGCTAGTGATGTGGCTAAGCATGGGGAGCTGCGCAGGATTTTCAGAAAATCTATGTATTAAGAATTGTTAAATACATTATTATGTTTACAGTTCAGAAAAGCCCCCTTTAAATCAATTTTTAAGTCATCAACACAACACAGGGTGAAGGTACAACTCTCCTCAGGAACTAGTACTGCTTTTATTACCCCATCACTCTAACAGCAGGCCCTCACACACCAATCACAGAAGTAACAGAATGAAATGGTTAAAAAAAAACACACACTGAAGCCAGAGTACCGAGTTCTATTACCACGTTACCCAGTGCATAAAACATACCTCTCCAACCATCAATCTTTCTCTTTGGAGAAGTGAATATAATAAAGAACTCACCTCATAGGGTTTAATAATATTAGCAAAATGCAAAACAAGAGAAACATTTCATTTAAAAAACTGACCAGGACTGGAAAGCAACCACTTAATCTAAGAGGTGAAAATGGTGAATCTGTATGCAGGGAAAAAAATGTACATCCTCCTGGTTCCTACTGCTCTCTCTTGCCACTCTATGAAAATACAGGCAAAAACCCCCACAAAGATCCACACATAGGCTTTATTTAGCTAGCATGCCAACTTAAACAAATAAATAACAATTCAAGTATCTTTAATTTTGTCTAACATTCTGCTTTAAAGAGCCTATTTTCATGTTCTTGGATGTTTCATGTAAAAAAAAAAAAAAAAAAAAGAGCCTATTTTCAGCTAACATGGAAAGGTACCTGGTATTTGAGTTTGCAGATCTTTTCAACTGTCGTAACATCGCAACTATGTTTTTAATAAATGTCACACCTCTGATCACTAGTACAACTGCAGCAGGGACAGCTTTCTTTCTTACTGGTTTAAAAGCTATTTGAGGGTGATAATAATCTTCATAGTCCTGAAGTGTCTAGCACTATCTCCCTGACACTGCAGGCATCTGAGTTTTTCCAACCTTACATAATTGACCATGTTTCTGAACACCAGATTCTAGAAAGCCCTGAGATGGATTTATGGTTCCCTCTCAGTAAATATTTTGAACATAATAAAATCAGATGTATCAATTTTATGATCTAAAAAAATTTCATCATCTTTCTCCATCTCTGTCTTTGTAAAGGCCCACTTAAAAAATTTTTTTTAAAGTAAGTATTTAAAAAGTTTCCTTCAAAGCCAATCATGATGGTGCACGTCTATAATCCTAGCATTTGGGAGGCTGAGGCAGAGAGATTGCTGTCAAAGTCAAGTCCAGCCAGAACTACAAGGGGAGGCCCTATCTCCAAAAGCCAACCAACCAACCAAATAAATAAATAAATCCATTTCTAAAAAAAAGTTTCAGCTGGGCACGGTGGCACAGGTTTATAATCCCCAATCTGGGAGGATGAGACAGAAAGATTACAAGATCTAGCCTGGCCCGGGCAACTTCATAAGAACTCCTCTCAAAAGGTTTCCTTCTAAGAACTAAATGTGATATGTTACCTGATAGTCCTCCTGCCCATTAATTTACTACACAGTAGTTAGTAAGCTCTTTTAAGGAAGAAAAATACTTAGCAAATACCTAACAGGTGGCTAGTAACACAAGTTTGTGGCTGAATTGATCTAGGAATTTAATGAAGCCTGAGTGTAATTCTTCCTGTAGCAATAGCCCTTGACAGAGTTTCCTTTAGCCATGACCCCATATACTAACGACACAAATCTAGTTTTGAATCCTAGATTCTACAGATTACCAATTGTAACTTTGTGCAAATAATTCGGAGTCTTAGTTTCTTTACCTGCAAAATGATACAAAGTTGCCTGACACACAGCAGGTGGTGTCAAATGTTTGGGCCAAGTTAAGCTTCTATTGCATATTAGAGGGTTGAGGACACAGCTCAATAGTAAAGCATTTGCCTAACACACAAGCTCTGGGTTCAGATGCCAGCGCCCCAAATAAGCAATCATATGTTACTCCCTGGTAGTTAAACAGTGGGGTACTTAGTGTTTATTACCTCCTTTAAGTAGGTTATTCTGCACTTTAGTGCCTCGCTGTCTTTCCTCCTGTACTCCTCCCTTTAGGAATAACTCTTAGCTATCCCAATCTTACTGCTTCTTATAAAAGCCCAATGCAAACGTCAGCTTCTCAGCAGGAAGAAATGAACAGCGTCTTTCGGTGTTCCAGTAACACCGTACACCTGAATGGTTCAGCACCATGCATGACTTAACTAAATTGTTACATATATGTCCCTTCGAAACTGGAATCCCGAGTTAACTATCTTTATACATCATTTTCCTGCGTCTTCTTCAGGCCAAAGACTAGACACATTGCCATGATTCATAATCGACTTAACGACAGAACCTGATGAGACTACGGCGATAGAAAAAACTCTTGACTTGGCCTAAACGTTGAAGCGGCCAAACGTTGAAGGTTAACCTCTGGGAAATTACTAAACTAAATGTTAAACAGCATCCAAGAAAAGCAAAAAGTAAAAAGGCGACCTAACTACTACGGGGAAGTGACTGTCTTGGAAAGGCTCTCGGAAGAGCTGTACGCACTAGCGAATTTGGGCTGCAGTCTCCCTGGCCAGGCCTACTTGGGGTCCCCCCGCCTTCAGAAATCCCCAGGCTGGACAGGCAATGAGGGATGCGCGCACCAGCATGCAGGCCCCTTGAGGCCTAAGCAGGATCAGCGCCGTGACTCAGCCCCTGGCGCCCGCCAACAGCCTGCCTCCCCTCACCTTGGCCAGCTTCTCGCACTCGGGCAGACGCTGATCCACCGTAGCGCTGTAGTCCACCTCCATCTTGACGATGCGCCCATCGGCCCGCTCCGAACCGCCGTCCGCCATCGTCCCTGCCTAAGCGTCCCCTGCTGTCCCCCTACTTCGGCCACCACTCGTCACTCTCACCGGAAGCCGCCCGCACACCCACTCAGGCAGTGCGTCGGGAGCCCGCAAGAAGGACCCCGCGAGGACCCCTACATTGGCCGCCAGTCAGGCACCGTTTTGGGCAGCTTTAGGGGCGGGGCGGGGGAATGCAGTAGGCGGAGCTCAATACTTCGCGCCCTTAGTCTGATGGCAGGTTTCATAATCTCAGACTTTACATCTACGATTTGGGGTGAGAAAAGCGAGCGTAATAGGACATGCTGTGTATTGCTCAGATGACGTCTCAGAACCGTGGACAATCATTGAACTTTTCTTGGTTTTCTTATTTGTCCAAGAGGAGGCTGAAATAGGCCCTAATAAAAAAAAAGTTCTGAGGTTTTGAGAATCTTGGTGATTTAACCTGTGTCATTTCTGATCGCTTATAAGAGAAAATGCAGCAGAAAATCAGTATTATAGGACTGGGGATTTAGCTCAGCGGCATAAGCGCCTGCCTTGCAAGTGTGTGGTCGTGAGTTCGATCCCTAGTACTAATAAAAAAGAAAAAGACAAAAAAAAAAAAAATCAGTAATATAAAAAGCAATGTGGGCCTTTGTTTGTTTGTTTTGTTTTTACTATAATCTGTGTCAGTAGAAGAATCATAAGACATTTTATTTGTTAGTCCCATAATATTGTTGTAAACATTAAAGTAGAGGCTGAAGATGTAGCTCGGCAGTGTAAGCGCTGCCTGCCAAGTGCAAGGTCGTGAATTCAATCCTTGGTGCCAAAAAAAAAAAAAAAAGAAAGAAAGAAAAAAAGTAGATCACTTATGGGAGACAATTTACAGTCTTAAGGTCTTTGCAAATAGGAATGGCGTGGTCATATGATCGACAATACCCTAGAAAACAAGAGGAAATCTTAAGTGTTTTGTTATATTAATGGCCTTAATTTAGTTTTGGCAACATCATTTTATATATCTTGAATAGACTTATATTACTGTCCTACAATGAAAATTGTGGAGTTTTTTTTTTTTTTTTTTCGGTTTTGTTTTCTGAGACATGGTCTCTGTAGTTCAGGCTGTACTTGAACTCACTATGTGGCCCAGGCGTCCCTGGAACTTGTGGTAATCTTTCTGCCTCTACCTCCCAAGGGCTGGAATTACAAGCATACACCATCACTCAAAACCTGAAAGTCATAGATATTAGACCCATATATAAGAAAAACAAGATAATATTTTAGCTGTATGCAAAGAAGAAACAAATTTTGGAACAGCAAAGTAATATACATTTCAAAATATAAAGGTTAAAACATATCTGCAGTAGAAAATGCACAGGAGCTAGGGATGTAACATAGTAACTTGGTGGAACACTTGCAGGCACAAAAATTTCCAATCTCCACCATACACAGACACACAGATAGACACACACACACAAGTAATCATCTACCTGCATTCATACACAAGAACCACAAATGTAATGGCAGGTGGGCTCTCCTGGTGCCTAAGTATCATGAAGGCTTATTGTTGGCAATTTGGATTTTACAAAATGCCAGAAATTTCTGACAAAATTCTCTGAATATATCAAATATAAAAATATAGCTGGGTGTGGTAGTGCATGCCTGTAATCTCAACACTTGGGAGGCTGAGGCAGGAAGATCACCAGGAATTCAGGGCCAGCTTGGGCTACATAGCAAGACCAGGTGTTCAACAAACAAGCAACTCAAACAAACAAAAATGTATAAACATTTCTGTTGTTTTTCACAAAGGATTCTTAGAAATTTTATTTCATATTAAAGTTAAAACATAGCTTAGCATATATAAAATTGAGTTAGTTGGAACCTTAGACACATTAGTAGGTGTCCAGAAGGATATTGAAAAGTGTGATGGAAAGCCAGGTATGGTAGCACATACCTGTAATCCCAGAACTTGAGAGGCTAATGCTGGAGGATTGTGAATTTGGGGCCACTCGGTGCTACATAACAAATTTGGGATTGAGTGAGTTACATGGGAAAATGTGTCCCAAAAACCTAAGAAAAAAAAAACCTGTTGACTTCTGGATTGTAGGCTAACAAATCAATTGTAAGTTAGTATCTCTCTCTGTCTCTCAGAGACTGTGACAACCCCAATCTCCCCTACAAATTTCTGAAACACACTCAGGCATCTGTATTTTTAAGATGCAGTAGATGGCACAGTGCCTGCCTAGCAAGCATGAGGTTGGGAGTTCAATTCCTGATACAAAAAAAAAAAAAATGCATTAGTCTTTTATATTCTGGCATCAATTGTTTTGGCAAAAGGATCTGGAAGTTTAAATTTTGTGTAAAGATTTTGAAAACATGTAAAGTCACAAAGTTGTGAAATACAAGGCAGCTGTGTGGTTTGCAGAACTCGGGCAGAAAGGGGAAAATACGTGGAGAAAACTCTGGTTGGCTCCCAAACCGAATGGAAGCCTTTCCTTGTTATGCTTAGAGGTAACAAGATAAAAGCAAAATGAAACAAAGGAAACAAGAGATTAAAGTTAAGAAGATAATGAAGGAACTCATTAAAAGTCTGAACAATAGGGAAAATAGGTCAGTGCACTACGTTATAGACAGGTACGTTGTGAATTCTTTTTTAGTGAGTCTGAGATTAAAGTTGTAGCTTGTGAGAAAGAAGTTTCAGGAGAAAAAAACTGGCAGTGGAGGACCAGTGTATCTACAAAATGACAGAGATGGGTGTGGTGGCACACGCCTGTTATATCAGCACACAGGCGGTTGAGGCAGATGGATTCCTGGGAGCTTGGGGCCAGCTTGGGCTACATAGTGAGTTCAAGGCCAGCCTGAGCTACATAGCAGGACTCTGTCTCAAAAAGAAAAAGAAAAAGACAGAAATGATGACCAGGACAGGAGTTTAGGAAAAAAAAAAGTGGAAATAGTTAATACGTTACTCATTATTGAAAAGTGTATGTTCATATATTAATCGTTATGAGAGAGCGACAGAGAGACAATATGTGTGTGTGTGTGTGTGTGTGTGTGTGTGTGTGTATGCACTTCAGAAAAAAAAGTACGATGTTTTTCAACAAGAGGCATTGAGGGGTCCCCAAGGATGTGGGGTCCCCAAGGATGTCATATATTACAGAAACTTGACACTGCCGGCCCTTGGAGAAGAAACTGGAAGCCCAGCTGCAACAATCCCACTGACGACGTTACTGAAGCAGCTGTCCACCGTACTAATAAATGTCTGCACACTAATGGCCTCCACTCTGAGCACTTCTTGTAATTGTAGAGGCCAAAGGTAACTTGTATTAATCTCATGATGTCACTATAAATTTAGTATAGAGATATTTATACAAAGTTTTCTTTTCCTGATGTGTATATTTTCTCTGTCTGTCTGTCTGTCTGCTTATCTTTCTCCCCGTGTCTCTCATCTCTGGCACATTCAGCTTATTGGCTATGCGCACGTCACACCCAAGGTCTCTGCCTCTGTGGAATGAACATTCTAATGGATGAAAGGCAGGAAATAAACTTAAGTATGTGTTGAAGTGGGAGAGGTAGAAAGCATTTGGAAGGTGATTAAGGAAGGCATTACCAGTGAGCCAAGGCCTGTGGGGAAAATACCTCCATCCAGCGCTTAAAGGAGAGGTGCATTTTAGCTTACGGTTTCAGAGGTTTCATTCCACGCTCTTCTGGCTCCAAGGGAGAGACATCATGGCAGAAGGCTTGGTGAAGCAAAGCTGCTACTTGATAGTGGCATCGAAGCACAGGGAAAAAGAGCTAGAAAGAGATCCACCCTCCAGGCTGGGATGTAGCTCTGTGGCTCAGCACCTGCCTGGCAAGCACAAGGTCATGAGTTTGATTCCCGATACCAAAAAACAACAACAACAACAAAAAAAAGGTCACAGAGAGAGAGAGAGAGAGAGAGAGAGAGAGAGAGAGAGAGACCTTCCAGTCAGGCATGGTTGTACACACTTTTAATTCCAGCTCTTGGGAGGCTGAGGCAAGAGGATCCCAATAAGTTTGGCATCAGTCTGGTCTACATAGTGAGTTCAAGACCAGCCTGAACTACATAGCTGAGACCTGTCTCAAAAGACAAAAACCAGTAACACCAACAACAAGATTTTTAAAAATCAGCCTGGCTGGGTGTGGTGGTACATACCTATAATCTTAGCACTCAGGAGGCTGAGGCAAGAGGATCACTGTGAGTTTAAGGACAGCCTGGGCTGGGAAGAAAGAAAAAGAGAGAGAGAGAGAGAGAGAGAGAGAGAGAGAGAGAGAGAGAGAGAGAGAGAGAGAGAGAGAGAGAGAGAGAGAGAAGGAAGGAAGAAAGAAAGAAAAAGAAAGAAAGAAAGAAAAAGAAAGAAAAGAAGGAAGAAAGAAAGAAAGGAAGGAAGGAAGGAAGGAAGGAAGGAAGAAAGAAAGAAAGAAAGAAAGAAAGAAAGAAAGAAAGAAAGAAAGAAAAGAAAGAGAGAAAAGGAATCAGCCTAGCTCAGTTTGGTGACACATAACTATAATCCCAGCACTCTGGAGGCTGAGTCAGGAGGATCACAAATTCGAGACAACCTGGACTACGTAGTGAAATGCTGTCTCAAAAAAAAATTTTTTTTTTTAATTTGCTGATGGATGTGAGAGGAAAAGAGTTAAAGGTATTAAGATCTTGGGTCTGAGCATCTGGAAGGGTAAAACTGCCACTGACCACATGCAGCAGATCGGGAAGAAACAGGGCGGAGGGAAAGCGAAGCGGCTTCATCCAGATGCACTTTTTTTTTTTTTGTACCAGGAATTGAAGTCAGGACTCTTAGCTAAACCCTCGGCCCCCATCCAGATGCACTTTTGAGGTATCCGTTGGAATCCAAGTGACAGTGTCGAGGAGGCAGGTGGGTATATACAAGTGCCAGGTTAAAGGAAGTCATTCAGGATACAGATTTGAAATAGGAGCTGTGACTTTATTGCTATATCTAAAGCTACGAGGCATAAACTGCAGGTATGTTTTTGAAAAGTTGTGCATGAAATATTTGTTTTTGTAAATTGCCTATTTTAAAGGCAATTAGGGGAATTGCTGTTTTCAAGCCTGTTGTGAACTGTTTTGTAGAGAAAATTACATTGCATT